TACCATGGCTTGGGTTAGGCGCACCTTAGTCTTCAAGCTGACATCTCTGCTCTTCAATACTTTTAGGGCTATCAAATTCTTTTTATATTCTGAAACTTGCCTGAGGACAGTGGTGAAGAGAAATTCTACCAACGGGCAGAATTTGGAGCAATGCACCTGGCTCTTGAGTTTGCTTGGAAGAAGAAATGGCCAGACATGCAACTGTATACTGATTCATGGATTGTAGCCAATGGTTTGGCAGGATGATCAAGGACTTGGAAGGAACATGATTGGAAAATTGGTGATAAAGAAGTGTGGGAAAGAGGTATGTTGATAGACCTTTCTGAACTGGCCAAAAAAGTGACGATACTTTTGTTTCATGTGAACAGTCATCAAAATGTTACCACAGGAGAGGAAGATTTTAATAATCAAGTGCATAGGATGATATGTTCTGTGGAAACTAACCATCCTCTTTCTCCAGCCACTCCTGTCATTGCCCAATGGGCTCATGAACAAAGTGGCCATGGTGGCAAGAACGGAGGTTGTGCATGGGGCTCAGCAGCATGGACTTCCATTCACCAGAGACTGACCTGGCTACAGCCACTGCTTAGTGCCAAATCTTCCAGCAGCAGAAACCAACACTGAGTCCATGATATGGGACCATTCCTCAGAGATCAGTCAGCAACCTGATGGCAGGTTGATTACATCAGGTCACTTATACCATCAAAAGGGCAGTGTTTTGTTCTTACAGGAATACTCACTTATTCTGGATATGGATTTACCTTCTCTGCATGCAATGCTTACGTCAAAACTACCACTCATAGACTTAAAACAATGTCTTATCCACACCGTCATGGTATCCCACACAGAACTTTACAGCAAATGAAACATGGTAATAGACCTATGCTCATGAAATTCACTAGACTTAACCATGTTCATCATTCTGAAGCAGCTGGTGTCTAACAGTAGGATGGAATGGCCTTCTAAAAGAAACAATTACAGCACTGGCAATACCTAGCAAGGCTGGGGCAATGTTCTCCAGAAGGTTGTATGTGTTCTAAGTCAATGTCTAATATATGGTGCTGCTTCTTCAATAACCAGGATTCATATGCATAGAAACCAAGAGGTGGAAATGGGAGTGGCATCACTCACTATTACTCCTAGTGACTCACTTGCAAAATTTTTGCTCTGTGTCCCTATGCTCATCAGGTCTGACGTTTTAGTTTCAAGGGGAAGGATAATTCTACCGCCTGGAGGCACAACACTGATTCCATAGAACTAGAAGTTAAGAATACACTCTCACCACTTTGGGCTCCACTTGGATCAACAGGTAAGGAAGGGAGTTACTGTATTGGGTAATGTGATTCATCCCGGTTACCAAGAGTAAATTGGATTGACATTGCATAATAGAGGTAAAAAAAAAAAAGAGTATGTGTGGATTCCAGGAGATGCCTTAGGATATCTATTGTATTACCATGTCCTGTGATTAAAGTCAATGGTCAACTACAGCAACCCAATTCCGTCATGACTACTAATGACCCAGACCCTTCAGGAATAAAGGTTTGGATTACCCCATCAGGAAAAGAAACATGACCAGTGGAGGTGCTTGCCAAGGACAAAGAGAATACGGAACGGGTGGTGGAAGAGGGTTGCTCTAAATACCAGCTATGGCCATGTGACCAGTTGCAGAAAGGTGGACTGTGATTGTTGTATTTCTTCCTTGTATCGCGTAGTGGTTACGAATCGGGCTGCGAACCTTAAGGTCAGCGGTTCGAAACTACCAGCCGCTCCGCGGGAGAAAGATGAGGCTTTCTACTCCCGTAAAGATTTACACCCTCGGAAACCCTGTACAGGGTCGCTATGGGTCGGACCCGACTCGACGGCACTTAACAACAACAACAACAAACAACAACAACAACAACATGAGTGCATCAAATATTTTTGTTTTCTTTGCTTAGAAAATATAAGATGTAAATGGGTTAGTATATTTTCTGTTGTACACAGTTGTATCATGTTAGAAGCAAGTGCGATTTTATAATTGTCTTTATTTAGAGAATATGGATGGTTTAAGAAGATGTACACAGGTGTTAAGCTGACCAAGGGTGGACTGGCCAGGATTCTTAGTGACTTGGTAGTTGGGATGTAGTTATTTCCCCATGATGAGATCTAACGTTATGTAATCACCTCTATGATGACATTTGCTATGAGCAGCCAATCCAGTGAAAGGAAGTTTCCTCAGGGGTGTGGCATGCTTCCTCTATGTTGGACACTTACACAAAGCTTTCTTGCTTTCTGCTGGATCTGGATGTCGCATTTGTCTTGCCATCTGAGCTCCAGTTCTTGTATTTGAACTAGTGACCTGCTCTAATGCTTGCTGATGCTGAGAGTTTTAGCAGCTTACCATCTTCTTACCTGCCTGATTGCTGTGTGGTTCAACTGTGTGAGTTATTTCCTTGATATAAACTCCGCCTTCCCCCCATATATCTATGTAAGCTTCACTGGTTTTGCTTCTCAAGAGACCCTAGCCTAAGACAACATCTATGCTTATAAAAAGTTGGGAAATATTAATTAACTTTCTTCTAGTTTATAATTTGATTTAACACCTCTTTTAGTATCTGGAGTTAATTGGACATATTTTATCAGACAATGAAATGAATAAATTTTAGGAAAACTTGATAATTACACATACTCATATTATTATCTTTGCCAGACTCAAAAGATTTTCAACGGAATTTATTGCATATTAAACCCTTATCTGGACTCCCAGTGTGGCACTGTAGGATCAGCACTAGACTGCAAACCACAAGACCAGCAGTTCAAACCCATCAGCAACTCGTTGGAAACCCTATATACAGTTTCTGTGAGTCGGAAATGATGCTATGACAGTTAACAACAAATCCTTATTTAAAAAAAAAATGGATTGTTGTTGCTGTTACTTGTTGCCAAGTGGGTTCTGACTCATAGTGACCCTGTATATAGTTTCCAAGGAGAAGCTGGTGAATTTAAATAGCCAGCCACATG